CACGTCACGGGGTAACACATTTGCATAATGCACGCCTATGTTCTACGTTGACCGGCCGCGAACAACTTGACCCCGCCCACAGACACGTCATTCTACTGATGACTGCTTCTCTAATCTCGGGGAGTTCAATGCGGGATTCACAAAATGTTTGCTGTTGAAAGATGGATCAGTATCCTGTTTGTTTGGACCAGCTGCTCCGCTGAATCACAACCTGTAAGTATGATAAATAATAGATGTTTATATTTTCTATAGAGCATTCAAAATACAGAACTATTGAAATAGGCGTATCCTTTCCGACACACGCTGTACGCCGTAGACCAGTCACAACAGACTAGGCCATCTGACCAATTGCAGGCTCACGGAAAGGAGGGGTTTAGAGAGACTGAATCTTTGAACTGCTTCAAACTAATTGTTTAAGAATCGCTGGAAAATTAGGAGATATTAAATGCATATTTTGAGAAAACGAAAGTGTTTTTGGACCTTACATGCATGTAATCCTATTGTAGGAGACACCTAAAACAATATTAGGAACCGTAAAAATGGCATAATAGGGGCACTTTAACATTCAACTGAAGATAAAATTGGTCACACCATGAAATGAAGTCCTCCACGACAAGGAGGATCAGGCTAAAGTTAGCATTTACCTACTGCACCTTTAACGTTTATTTTTACAGCAATACCAAAGCAGTATAGCCCCAACCCTTGTGTTGTGTCCCCGTCATTTTACTGAAGACTGCTACAGCAACAGTGTTTCCCACAGACTTACACTCTATGTGTGGCGGGACTTCCCCTGTGGGATATACTGTATGTACCGGTTCACATTTACGGCTCTGCGTGTTTGCTGCGTAAAACCATCAGTCGATTTTTGCGTTGGTCTGAATGAAAATGCAAATTCATTCGTTGCCACTAGGTGCCACTTTTGGAATGGTAAAAATAGCTGCTGAGTATCAACAGCTCCTTTGAATCACATTCAGCCACTATTACCCACCCTCTTAAAATCCATTTTATAGTTGTTTATCGACCCCCGGGACCACTAGGTAACTTCGTGGAATAATTATATGTGCTGCTCTCAAACTTTCCTGAGGATGGTACTCCCCTAGTTATGCTTGGAGACTTCAACATCCACCTAGATAAACCTCAAGCTGCAGACTTCAACCAACTGGACCTTATTTACACATGACACTGCTCCACTGATCATGTGCTGGTTACTCCACTGCACACCTCAGATCACTTCCTCCTCACTCTTAACCTCAACATGGTTCCTGACACAACACATACCCGTACACATGTCACTTTTCGACGTAACCTATGCTCTCTCTCACCCTCCCGGCTATCTGCTATGGTTTCATCTTTGCTTCCTTCCTCTGAACAGTTATCATCTCTTGATGTTAACAGTGCTACTGATACTTTCTGCTCCATTCTTACGTCTTGTTTAGACACTGTCTGCCGCTTGTCTTCCAGGCCAGCTCGTACCACCTCTTCTGCCCCTTGGCTAACGAGTTGTGTTCAACCAAGTCTCAGCCTTTCTCACACAGAACAACCTCCTCGACAGCAACCAGTCTGGATTCAGAAGTGGACAACCACTTCTGAAAGACTGTTGCTTTCAGTTGTTGAAGCCCTAAGACTGGCAAGAGCGGCTTCCAAATCTTCTATACTTATTTTGCTGGATCTGTCTGTGGTTAAGGACTCAGCTGCTCGGATTGAGTTGGGTAGGTCATTCCACCAGGAGGGAACATTTAATGTAAAAGTCTGTAAAAGTGATTTTGTGCCTCTTTGGGATAAAGCGATGTTCACTTGCAGAACGCAAGCTTCTAGAGGGAACATAAGTCTGAAGTAATGAGACACCTTAGCACCCCTACTTCCCGCGGTAATGATTCTATGTCCTTGGATTGAAGGCATTTTTTATGAACAAATTTGGAAAAAATAATAATGAGCCACAAACTAAGCATTCGTTTGAAGTAAGGGGAAAATCCAAAAACCTTTTATTTATTTGTTACAATGCGGGTAGGCCTATGTCTTATTAGTTCTGTTAATAAAAGTTTTATGTTTAATATAAGCTACTTTGTCATTGTTGCTGATGTTGTGTGTGGGACTTTTTTTTTTCATTAAGAGTAATACTGAATCAACCTTAAGCATTAATTTTGTTCGAGAACAGGAAAGATCTAACGTTAAAGATCAAAATAAGCGCTGCAGATGCGAGAATGCGAGATTGGTTGCTGCTGAGGTAAATAGACGCTCTCGATCTTTCTCTGCTGTATCTTGCAATGGCTGTAGAAATGGTCGTTAATTCTTGATTTGGGTACGACACAGACATGTTACAGGTAATAAATAATATGATCAAAAAGTCATGGCAACAAACGTCTTCCTAAGTCAGTTTAAGTTGAAACGACTTTCACAATCAATTTGATTAATTTATGTTTTACTGTTGCTTATTGTCATTGTAGGCTTAGGCTTACTTTTTTCTATGAATTTGAATGAATATACAAATTAATAAAATGAGTTTTATTTACACCCTTAGCACCCCTCCCACCGTAATGATTCTATGTCCTTGAATTGAAGGCATTTTTTATGAACGAAGTTGGAAAAAACAAATAAAAGTCTAATGTAGTCTGGGATAGATTGCGTTATCTGCCTCAGGCAATGGCAGCACGGAGCACAAGTTAAATGAACAATTCTTCACTTTAATACAAGTTACATGAATGCACATCAGAGGATATCTTAACAAATAAAGTACAACTTACAATCACGCATCATTTCTGTGTCTATAAGCGGTTTTAACCAGGGATCATCAGTATAACAGCCTGTGAAGTAGGCCTATGTGTCAGTTACTGTACGTGACATTTACCTCAGGAAGATAAAACTGTCTAATCATATCGCCAAAATTATAAATACATTAGGCCTATACATTTGTGTAGAATATAAACAAGTTTTTATAACAACCATTTAAATGACTATCCCCCGGTTTCACAGACAAGGCTTCAGCTTAATGCCAGACTAAAATCTAAGTCTGAGCTTTTTCAACTGAAAGAAACTTGCTCTAACTTTAAATAAAAAAAAGAAAGTGCCTTTATTTTGTCTCAAAATGCACACCGGTAATGTTTTTTCTAAGGCACATTTATAAAAATTACTTAAATGTCCTAATTGAACTATGGCCTAATCCTGGCACTGTCTAAGCCCTGTCTGTGAAACCAGGCCTATATCTAAAAAAATTAAGCATGTCATAATGTAGCCTAATAAGGCTAATTTTCTTTTAATAAAACTATGATTATGTTGTGCTCAAATTTATTATATTGAAAGATAATTATGATAATGTAAACATAATAATAATTGTTTTAAGTTATGTGCTGGTATTACCTTATGAACTGTGATTACATTATAAGTTGCCACAATGTGTTCATAATGTTCATAATCTCATATAATAACCTATTACATTATGTGAATTTTTTTATTATATTGAAAAATTATTATTACATTATGAGCTCAAGATTTTATTACGTTTTGAGAAAATTATTACATTATGAACATTTTATTACAATAATAATGTAATATTTATTACATTATGTGCCGTTATTACATTATGAGTTGCTTTGGTTTTACTAGGATTACATAGAGCAGCACTGCAATGCAGCAGCAAGCGCATGAGGTTGTCATGGCAACCAGATACATTGCGCGCGAATTACTTGTAAAGGTTGCACTGTCTATTGTAGGCCGAATATAATGCACTATAAACATGTTTGTCAACAAAATAGCAAAGTAGACTTTAAGCAAATCAATGAGTAATCTACCCACTGCTTTAAAACAGATATCTTTTGCAGTGGTGTAATGTAACGAAGTAAAAATACAGTACTTAAGTATTTTTTGGGAGTATCTGTACGTTATTTGAATTTTTATATTTCAGCCAACTTTTACTTTTACTCCACTACATTTCCTAATTAAAATGTATACTTTTACTCTGAACATTTCCCCAAAGCATATTCGTTACTTACTACAAAATAGTCAGAAGTCAGAAGAACACGGATTGCAGGAAAGCAGGTTTGACGAATCAGTGGTCTGGCGCTTGCAAGTTAGACTCCTAAAAACACCTTTGCTCATGTGCGCGCACAACCGCGGATGATTTCATTTAGGGATGGGCGATACCCCTTATTTTGTTTTCGATACGATAAGAAGTCAGAAGAACACGGACTGCAGGAAAGCAGGTTTGACGAATCAGTGGTCTGGCGCTTGCAAGTTAGACTCCTAAAAACACCTTTGCTCATGTGCGCGCACAACCGCGGATGATTTCATTTAGGGATGGGCGATACCCCTTATTTTGTTTTCGATACGATACCGATATTTTTCAAGGCAGTATCGTCGTTATCGATACCGATTCGATACTTATGCACTAAACTTTTAAATTATGAAATTTATGAAATTATTAAATTACTAAGAGTAAAATGGGTAATGAAAACCACTTAACTTTATGTTTAAAACGCATTTTAACCCGTTTAATCCAAAATCTTTCCCAGACATGAAAATATCCAAATGATGCATCATTAGGAACCCTTTGAAATAATCAGATTTTTTTTTTTTT